TTACCGTTAATAAAATAGTTAGCTCTCCATTTAATACAATCCGCTAATTAGTTTAGAATTGTAGAATCAAAGTACACATATGTTAATGCATATAATTCCATTTCAAACTTTCAAATTCCATATTGAAAAGAAAGATTTAAAAAAATAAATAAATAAAAGGAAAAAAAAGTCTGAAAGCTTTCAGGTTTTTATATTACGCCCAAAGGAGCGTTTTATTAACGTTCTGTATGTTACCTTTATTTATTGAATATAATATTCTTCGCACTTAAATCATAAAAATTCAATTCAACAGCAATATCGCAAAATAATTTTAAAAGAATTAGAATATCCGATACGGACTGTCGCACCCTGGAGACAATTTTTTTTTTCTTTCTCGTACAGTGTTGCCATTGCTCGCTTTGAAATCGTTGAGTTTCTTAATCAGAACCTCATAAATGCTTTACAAAATATAAAATAGATAAGATAATAAAACAAATTTCAAATTAGGACTTCCAGATGCCCATATTTGGTGGAAGATTACATTATTTAAATTTTGACGGCTCTAGGTACCGTTGTTTCATCTCAATGCGACAAACATATATACATTTATGCAGATTCTTCATTATTTAATTTCTTTAAATATATAGTACAAGGCTCTAATATTTGCCGGCAGCAATTTGAAAAGTAAAACGGTCATTTAAAATTTTCAACGCAAAATGCCAAAACGAAATTAATAGTCCTTTCGGACTAAAATATTGCAATCTGAAAATTTTAGATTACAATCTAGTACTTTGAAGAAGAGTTTACATTTAAAATAATAATAATAATGATGATGATAATAATAATAATAACACAAACTATAAAAAAACTTAAAAGTTATAAAAAGAACTGAAAATAAAAATAAGTATAGCTCATATCAAATACAACAAAGCTACAAATATTCCCAATGCATCATTTGGTTGTATGATAAATTAAATACATTTTAATTTGCAGTTAGATATATTATAAGAAAAGTAAAATGAATATTTAAATTATTATTTGGAAATGCGTTTTTTTTTTTTTCTTTTAAATCCTTTTTTTTTTTTTTTTTTTTTTTTTTTTTTGTTAACTAATGAGAGACTGGAGGAAGTTGAAACATAAATTAAACATTTTATGATTTGCCAAATGGCAGCACTCTGAGAATCGGCTATGCATGAGGCAAAGAAGGCAAATTGCTTTGAAGGCAAATTTTAAAGGTATTAATAGTATTTGCCATGACGCGTTGATGATAAGTCAGGTTTTAGATTCATTTCCGTTTCCTGTCGGTCAGTTTCTGAGGCATGATCGTGTCTGGAGATATTATTTTCGCGGTTGTAATTTTATATGTTAATTTTTATTATATGTTAAAAACATTTTCGTATTAAAGCTGAGGTAAATAATACATTTCATTAGAAGCATCTTAATATTAATTGCACTGATACCAGTTTTTACGAAAATTATCTATCAGATTCATCATAAATTATATTAATCAAAAACATATGCTTTTTCTATATATGTATCTATAAATTAAATATGATAAACGAATAACCTAGAAGGAAATATATAATAACTGCAATTTTAAGACTTTAAATTCCACTCTAACGTTTCGAAGAAGTTTTCACCATTAAATTCTTCAATTTAAAAGAGTGTTTTAAAACAATTCCAGTTTGAAAAACTTAAAATTATGTACTAAAATCTCGAACTGAAGTTTCAAGATGTTAAAAATATTTGCAAAATTTAAAAAAAAAAAAAAAAAAAAGTCATATTATTGAAAAGAACTTGCAATCTGATCTTGGTATGGAGATTTCAGTTTAGCGCTTGAAACAGTTTTAAACTAAGCAGATTCTGAACAGAAATACCTTTCTTGATGCTTGTGTTTCATTTCTTCCTCGCGCGTATTATTCTTTTTCTAAATTCCATATTAATATTCACTTCATCAGCAAGTTCTTTATATCTTTAAAATGATTTGGAAGAAAAATTCCTTTTAATATAATCTAAAGCGTTTTTGTTCTTTATTTTCTCTTAACGTATATTTTATGATTCATACACGCAAATAACACAAGTACTTATCAGTCAATGCTTCTCTTTTATGTCCATTTAATATGTAAAAAATTTTCTTCATCCTCACCGCGAGTTTTCGTGGTGGATGACACATTGGCTGAAAGGTCCGACGTTTGAATGTCGGTGAAGGTATCTTTGATTTCTTATGTTTTCTGGTTTCATGAAAATTTTAAGATAGTACGAATGTCTCTGAACAACACAGCGAACGATAATTCGCAGCCTTCTGGATTTGGCGACTGGTTCTTCCCTTCTTCTCAGTTGTTCTTTAAATGGAGAATAAATATGCGAATTTTTTTTCTTCGCTGTCACGTGGTTTCGTTGTGCAACTGGAAGTTCGTCCGGCTAGCATTCAGAAGGTACGGTATTCGAATTTCAACAAGGAAAATTGCCGATTTTCAATGTTGTCTACTTCAGATTCCTAATACTTCTACAAGTATTTATTATTAAAGGTCTGAGTGAATACTAAAACATTTTTTATGAATTTTGTATTATTATTAATGCATCCTATTTTAATTTTATGTTCATTTTACGTTTTACGTTAAGCAAACATTTTACTTCTCTCACCATAGGCAAGATTTTAATCTGTCTTATGGGTCGAAGTGTCATTCGAATAAATGTTCTGAAGACCGACACTTGGAAAAATATGGGTGGCATTGCCTTTCCTACATCCGCGAATACACATAATAATTATTCATTAGATATTTTTGGGATGAATTGATAATCGTTTGATTTTACCAATATCTACACTCATTTTTTGTTTGAACTGTTTGCTTTTCTATATATTATTAAACTGGTTCCAAGATTAATTTAGAGAGAAACATTAGCCTACCAAAAACTATGGATAAATTCTTGGTGAAATTCTGTAAAGGTCAAATAGTTTACGGAATTTAAAACGAGAATTTATCGGAAATATGGAGAACGGAAAAACGAGAATTTGTCGTAAAAAACGGGAATTTATCGAGAAATATGGAGAAAGTATCCATCTAACGCAACGCTATCTCAAGCCCTGCTCCTGATTCATAAGCTCAAAGACCGAAATAGTACGGTCATCAAGGTCTTTTCCGTGCGACGGGTTGTGGCGACTCTATTTGTAATTTCGATCGGAAACCAGATGACGCGAAAGTACATTTGCAATGGAGCAAAATGACCGCTGGCAAATTAGTCGTTCATCCTATCTGTCATTTGTGATTAACTGTCGTGAATTCATAAATTAAAGATATAGCATCCCGAGAGATGACCTTCCTCTTCCTCTCAATGGTCTATTCATTCAAATGCAGAAAAAAGTGAGGTTACTTTTGCTTTTCGTCAAGTTCGCGTATGGTTATGGCTCTGCATCTGTGTACGTTCTGGTAAAGTTCAAATTACAAATGATTTCGAGCAGTTTATCTCTAAGTATGCAACAATTCTTTAAATCACAACATCACTGAAAAGGATAAAAATCACGCGTTGGATATTTATCATTAGAAACATATTACTTAGTTATTTTCCGTAAGAGGATATTTCTAACTATTTCTAATTTGATTTTATGAGACATTAATTAAGAAGATTAGGCGCTAGCAATGGCTAATTGCTAAAGCTGGAAAATCCATGTTGTTCGTTCCGGGGCTATTCCCAGCGATGGAATTTACTGCTGCATAGGGTTTTGGTGTTTTTCCTCACGTGTTATGAGAATACTGGTTATTTTTCCTTTAGAGACTTCCCATGAAATCATTCTATACCTCAAGCAAATAGCACTTGAGTACTTTGTCATAAGTAACATATCCAATTATGATTATTAAGGTAAAAATTAGATATATTCTCACTTTTTAGCGTTTTAGGTATCGTAATATATAGCTTGGAGTTATCCAATGGTCATGGTATCTGGTTTGAAGAGTATCTCGTTATTACATTTACTGCATACCTACTTGTATTGCAACATCAATACAAAAATAACTAAAATCAATAACATGCATATATTAAAATCTACGATTTTGCAGTTACAAATCAAAACAATTTCTTACAAACAGTATTGTTCTTGGAAATGTAATAATTTATTTACATTTACGGTCTTTTCACAGTGAAATTATACGTACGTGATTTGCTCGATATTCTGAGACCCAAGCAACAGCACTACAAAAAATGACCTTATTAATTGTAACTCGAGTATTTTTGCGATTATTTTTGTTGTTGTTCGCTAGGTTTCTAGAATGCGCGTGGATTACTAAAACACTGATCTACACTGCATCATCTACACTTAGTCATAGTTCATTCTTTAACTATCTACTTGTTCAAGCAAAGCTTTTCTACGTCTGTCAGCTGTATCGCAGACCTTCTGAAGTGAGATCCATGTAATTTAATATCAGAAAAGACACTTTAACTGTTTAACACTTCTTTTTGCTCCCCCCTCCCGGGAACAAAAGTTTTGTGTTTGCTTTTCAGCACGTTGTTCAGATAATCGATAATGTGCTTGTTTCTCTACGACATAAAGATGAATACTACAGGTATTTCTACAACATCAATAGTTTCATTATTCATGCCTTGTAATTTCAGAATACCTTAACACTTTTTAAACTATCGGATGGTATCGGTTTTCTTCACGTAAATATCAGTGGCAACTTTTGGGATACTTTCCTGTGGAACTGGAAGGGTATATAGGTCAGGTACCTACATTTGTTTTTCGCCTATTGGTACAATGCAAAGATAAAGCTCAGACTTTTGGAATAGTAAAGGAGGCTTAAAGTAAGAAAAACATTGAATGGACTTTATGAACGGAGTTCCAGTTCTTTCATGATCTGCCTCAAGGGAATCATTCTTTCTGTTATTTCATTTTACATAGCAGAAAAATTTTTCCTAAGCTGTGTGAGGAAAATATAGCTAGTATTTTCTCTGTGATTAAAATAATATTTTTCACAAAAAATCAAAATCCATGAGTTTTAAGTGATATCATAATGTTTTCCTTTTAGTTATCGAAGACATCATCACCATTCTCGACAGAGAGGACCTGAGGAACCTGCCTTCAACAACCTCAATGCACAACGTCCTTGGGATGACAGATCGCGTCGACGATACAGAAAACGAGGTCAACACCATCATGGTGTTCAGCTGCTAAGGACTGTCTCAACACCACCACCTCCTTTACGTGGTCGGCAACAACAGCAGAGGCACTTCAATGACCTATGGGTGAAGTTAGACAATCGAGAAAGGTAAGTAGCATCCTGTATCATAATTTAGCTTAAACCGACTTTGGTTTGCTGCTGCTTCTGGATAATACATTTATGAAATACTTGAAAGTTATGTAAATCAAAACGATATAGTTATTTGAATGAAAAGACATCATTTTAATGAACTTCGAAAGACAACTTTAATTTCTAGTCAAGTATTCAGCAGTTTTATAAAAATAACATTTTCCCTCTCTTCATTTGAATATTGCTTTTTCATACAGACGACTATGGATTTATTCATACTTTTTAAAGAATCACATTCATGATTGCATCAAAAGCTAAATGTTAATGTAATGAAATAAGGTCTGCGTTATGCTCCATTATTATTATGCTGTTATTAAATTCATCTTGCTAGGGCCAATGGACTGGAAGTGAGCAGATTCGTCACTCTTTCATCTATGCAAGATTAAGGGTTGCATTATTTTGTCCGTTGCTTCTAAGAAAAACTGCAGTAATAAATAACTAAAAATTTTTTGCAGGGAGATCTAGCATTTCACTTCTTCCAAGAATAAGCCACCTAGCCGTGGTTCCTTACTATTTCCAAATAAATTAATTGCATAGTAGTCATTAATGGCTTACACAACGTATTTGACAGAATAGATCTGTTACTGTGAAACACCGAAATCTGGAGAATGTCGACTTTCACCGGTGAATGTCAACATTCACGTAGACGCTTGGTGTATGTCCGAAATATTTTTCAAATACTCTTATTTCTGACTTACACCGGTCAATGTCGACATTCACCATGTACTAATGGTGAATGTTGAACATATAAGAATATTGTATTTTCTTCTCGGTAATTCAGTCGCGAAAACACGCACTTGAGACTTAAAATAAGAACTTAAGAACATAAGAACTTAAAGCACACAGTACATTCAAAATCAGAAAGGAAAATAATAGAAGTTAAAAACTTACTAAATAATGTGATTCAAATCTTATTTATTGCACAAACTTAACTATTATGACATTTGAATTGCACAAGAGGCCCTTGCTTTTACAATTGTATTTATTTGTGGAACACTTTCTTTTGCAATGACAGCGTGTACATATACTCCTCTCTTTTCGACCTACACCAGAGTATATCTGTGATTGTCGACATACACCGGTAAGGGTCCGAATGTACAAGAATGTAATGCAATATTCCATCTTTCACCGACGCATTTGGTGAATGTTGACATTCTCTGGTGAAAGTCGACATTCTCCAATTTCGGTCCTTCACGGTAACAGATCCATAGATTAATATAGTCTCATGTGCACAAGAATATATTCATCGTTGAAAAACGCTGAAAATGTAATTTCAGCTAATAAGGTCACATGGCATCGGCCATTTATAGTTAACAGTAATGTCCTGTAATCTAAATGGAGCCATTATTCGACGTACTGGTATCCATTTCTGACAGAAAGTAAGGTTAGTTGTACAGATTTCTGACAGAAAGTAGGGTTAGTTCTACAGAACGTTGAATGATGATTTCAGTGGCACTAGCACTGAATTGAGATGCAATCTGACCGATTTTTTTGGGAAGGGAGCGGTTATTCATCCTTTTCCTCAGGTGCGGGTAATGTATTTTCTTATTCACATATGGATACTCATCGTTTTCACGCGCTTTTGATATTTGCTCAGAACAGATATATTCCTAATTAAGACACAATAACATGCCGAACAAATACTAATTCAGAAGTCAAACAACAAAAATCAGCGTTATATTTTCAAAATTTTCACAGGACTAGTTTCGATGGTTTTACCGAACCACCATCCTCAGCTGCAAAACCGCAAATGAACAAGATAGGAAATAATGATTAGATAAGGTAAGAAAGCCTGGAAAAGAATAAGCAAGTGGCGCCATCTGTTATACAACGCTGCGATATAACGATACTCAGCGATATAACGCTGATTTTTGTTGTTTGACTTCTGAATCAGATATACTCCTAGTTCTTACCGTAAGTGAATCAAAAGCTGTCGGGGTCTTGGAGATAAAGTACTTCATTCTTTTTTCGTCAGAATTTAATTTTAACTAAATGGGGATAAACCATTTACATCCCATGTCAAACACGTGTACATTGAAGTACTTTGCCAAGGATAGTAACTGTTGCGTTATAAATCCAGCACTTTGACGGTAAAAAGACACTGCCAGAAACTTACAGCAGCATTTAATCCTTTAGCATTTCGGTTTATATGCCTCAGAAGGGAGACCTGTATGAAGTTTTGTAATAATAACGGTTTCGAATTTACGTTCTATTGATTGAAGATAATAGATGGAAAAAAAAAAAAAAAACCCAGAAAAATTGAAATAAAATTGCAAGAAATTTAAATATGAAGCAATCCTATCAGTTTCTTTTCTTTTTTAATGTAATTAAAGTCAAATGGTTTTATTCCCATATAAGCATTATCTTCCACTTTCCCGCGTGGCAGAGGTCGAGTGAATAAAATGAAATATTGGTAATAATTATCGGCCGTTGAACAGATTAGTTTGGGGGGGGGCTTTCGTTTCGTATTCTCAGGCAAAAAGTTTTATAGGATAATTTTATGTTGATGATAAAGTAATAGAGATTTTAAACGCTATTTCCATATTGTGCAAAGCACCCATATAGTCATTTAACCCATAAGAATCCTTGTTTCGTAAGTTCTGCCAGTTATCTTCCAAGATCCGCTACCCGTACTGACAAATGTTATCAGATTACCCGTATGAACAAATGTCCCCAGGTAACAATGAAGAAACCTCACTATCGCAGAATGTGAACAACAGAGGTCACAATAAGTGCTCTAAAACGGACAATCTGCACGTTCGGCTTCCAAAATTCGAATCCTCGTCTCCATGGCCAGAAAACAAAAGTATCCAACGCTGCTGGTCGGCAGTCTGCGTTTAGCCACAGTATGTTAAAGAATAACTTTTTCGTCTTTAAGACATTAAGTTTCAGTCCCCAAACATGTCCGATAAAGATTTAAAAAAAAAAAAAGAAAAAAAGTTTAAGAGGAAATTCATTTCTTTAGAAGTACAGATACAAATCTTGTACCGTCTTTTAAAAGGAGAAAAGGCATCTTACACTGAAAAAAAGTTTTAACTGAATTGAAGAAACAGTCCGGACTAATGAGAAAAATGAAAAAGAAATAAGAAATGCAGAAGGATCTTCGACATCCGCAAAACGTGCAGTTCGCCTCCGAGGGCGCCAATAATTGAGAAGGTGGGAAAGGCATTCAGCATTTGGATTAATGATAGCTGTCAAAAAAGAATTTCGTTGGATGGTAAAATCATTGAACAAAAAGCACTCAAAATTTTCAGGCACCTTAAAGAACATAGAGAACCCTATGTCAACCCAGATTTTCTGGTAAGTAAAGGTTGGTTCAAAAATTTCAAAAAGCGTTTTGAAATTCATAACATAAGAATACAAGGAGAATCTGCACCGGCTGATTATGAAACTGCTTGGACAATTGCTTGGATTGCTTGGACAAACTGCTGAAAAATTTCAAAACATTATAGAAGAACAAAGATACACAGCAGTTCAAGTTTTCGATGGCTACAAAACTGGGCTTTGGTGGAAAAAAATGTCCAGTCGAAACCTTTATATCGAAAAAAGAAAAAAAACTGCATCCTGATTTAAGGTGTTTAAAAATTGTCTAAGGCTACTTTTGTGCAGTATGACTTTGGACTTTATGACAAAAACCCTTGTTAGTTTATAGATCTTAAAATCCTTGTGCCCTTAAAGGTGTAAATTAAAACACCTTACTGATATATTGGGAAGCAAATCCATGAACTTGGGTAGCTGGGAATATATTTAAAGATTGGTTTTTAAATTGTTTTGTGGCAAATGCTGAACGTTATTTAAGGCAGAAACATTTGATCTTTAAGGCGCTTAAAACTATTAGATATTGCTCCATGTCACCCACAAGATTTGAATCATCCCAATGTCAAAATACTGTTACTACCACCTAACACTACTTCGTTACTCCAACCATTGGATCAAAGTATTATTTATACCTTAAAACATATTACATAAGAAGAGCATTACAGTAGATGTTAAAATAAAAAAACGTGCTTGAATCATTAGAAAATGAAATTGGGGGCATATTAAAGCTTGTTAAATCAAGCGGCGGCGAAGGTTTTGTGATCATGGCTATTGAGGATGTTCATTAGCGGAAGAAGAAATTGACGAAGATTTGATAGAAATGGCATCCGTAGCTGTAAATCAAATCGCTTCTGAGGACACTACCACTGATGACGATTGTGAAGGTAATAACTGAACATTAAAAAAATTAAAAGAAGGCCTACGCTTAGTTGAAAATCTCAAGTTATGTTTCTTGAGTGCAGACCCTTCCGCTGAAATAAGCCGAAAATTTAAAAGGGAACTGCAAAACTGTCTAGAAACTTAAAATGAACCGGTAAGAAGTAAAATTACAAAATAAATAAATAAATAAATAAAAAGTAAAATTACAGATTTTTTAAAGAGAGAAGAAAATTCCGCAACTTTAAATGAAGAAAGAAACCCTGAAAGAGAAAGCGATCTCATTCCACCGAAAAAACGTTTTCTGTTGATTATACTCAGCAATGACAACGAAAAAATTTATTAAACTAAAGTTGCGTTAAATTAAAATATGTAATATTTTTTGTTTTGTGTTGTACATACAAATATATTTTTAATAAAAATTAAGTTGTTTATGTATAATTAAAAAAACTTTTTTTAATAAGTTTTCGGAACGTAACCCGTCTTTTTATACTGGCTGTGGGTCTCGTACAACAGGATTTCACACAGTACGGCATTTTCTAGGCACCTGTCTACCGTGTTATACGAGGGTTACTTGTACTTCCTTTACTTCGTACAAGGAAGTAAAAATCTAATAATAATGATGAAATTGGGTAATAAACACGGATTGCAACTCTTTTTGCAATGTTATTTCTTCTTTCGCTTTTTAAATTTCTTTCTTTTTTTTTTAACTTTATTAAAACGGTATTCTTCCCCCAAAAAGGAACAGTAATTCACTTTTTAATATTTTCATAATTTCTTAATTATACCAAAAAGCAAACTTCACGATTTTCAAAATTGAAACCTTTTTGTTGTTGTGTTTCAATTTTATTTTACAACAAATTTTAATTTTAACAGTTAGTAATAAAAGATATTATTTAGTTAATGCTAAAATTTCATCTGAATATTAGACTGTCATAGGAAATATCCAAAATATAATTTTATTTTTTCCTCCTTAGGTATCCCTATGAAGAGGGTGTAGAATTATCTAGTACTAATCACAGGAATTTCAAGAAAAATTCAAAACTATGGTACTCCACTCGCAGTTGTGGATCACCCACATTATTGCAAAGTTCTGATCATTTAACATGGGCAATAGTTTTCTCTGTCATATGTTGTATAAAGATTAGATACAATGTGATGCTTTTTTCCATGTGACGGAAATACATTCGTCACAGCTGGATTATCTGAATGAATTACATCTCGTAATGAAAGTTCGCTTTTCTTTGACACCTAAATACTATACCTGTTTGTAATATTTGTATAAATTATTTATTAAATTTTCTAACCAAAATGCTGATTATGAGTCAGCATGCTTTGTGAAAAGTGCATTATTTCGAAAGAGTCCATGCTAATCGATATTTCAATAATTGTCTCAGACATCAAACGTTTATCATAAATTCCCAGCATATTGTCAAATCTGTCATAAGCAGCTTTTTTATGTGATAACAGAGGCGTTTTCATGATCTATTTCTCCCCCGTGCAAAATCACACAGGTATCAGGGAGATAATTTATCTCCAGACATTTTGATTAAATTTTATTAATAATTTGATAATAATGATAATTGATTCTCTGATTTCTTCTCCTTCCCCAAGTATGCAAATAACTGTAACTGTTATATATAATTAAAGAGCTATCAAAGTTACGGCTACAGTAAAAACATTTCAAAATTTTAGAATTGCAATGCCCATTTTTATCTTGCATAAACTGATCACAGCATTAAAAAACCATAAATGGCCTTGGAACGATGCACATAGGACGAAAATTATCGCCGTAAAAAAATTACAGAGGAGCATTGTAAAGGAGTAATGGCAACGCAAGGGAGGAGAGGGAAAAAATCTTTCATTGGAATTTCAATGTTTACAACGTTCTAAGATTGAGTCATCTCTCGTAAGTCCGATGAATTTCTAGTTCTGGGATTAACTGAATTCTGAGGTGTACACATCAAATCCACGAGACTTATCATATTGAAAGATGCCATAAAACGTGAAGTTATACAGATTCCTTCTGCCATGTTACATTCGTCACTGTTGTTAACAATCTCCCGCATGCGATGCGTTATCATTTCCGAATGCAGGCACGTTGAACACTTGAAATTCCAATAAAAGATTTTTTTCCTTCTCCTCTTATGTGTTGTAACCGTTCCTTTACGATGCTCTTCCTTACAAATGTTTTACGCCAGCAATTTTCGTTCTACGTGTATCGTTCCAGTACTGTTTAAGATTTTTTAATCCGATGATCAATGTGCGCAGGAAAAACGTTAGTGTTGCCATTCGAAAATTTTCACTGTAACCGTAATAATGAAGGTTCTATTGATTTAAATCACCACTATCTCGAGTGCATACCTTCAAATAACAATATCTGAAATTTCATTTCGATTAGTTGAGCGGATAGGCCACTAGGACTTGTAATTACGAAGTTTTTTATGACCACCTTGCATATTTTAGTCTTTCTCAATTCTTTTAATGTACATACATATTATTTATAGTTAAGTAAGTGTGAGTAAAATATTTGACAAAATTTTTAACTCTTAGTCTCAGCCTAAAAAAAAATAATTGTTGGCGCATTGTACATGAAAATGTTAACGACACTTAAGGAGAAAAGTCTGAAAGCTTTAAGGTTTCATATTACGCCCTAAGGGGCGTTTTTTTAAAGTTTTGTGTGTCACCTTTATTTATTAATAGTCCTTCTGGGCAAATTGCCCCTTTGGACCTAGAGAAGGCTTTCAGATTTTATATTACGCCCAAAGGGGCGATTTTTTTTTTTAAGAAAGTTTTGTGTGTTACCTTTATTCCTTAAATATCATGTTCTTCGCACTTAAACCATAAAATTCAATTCAACAGCAATGTCACAAAATCTTTAAAAGAGCGTATCTTTAGAATTTCCGATACACAGTCTCGCACGCTGGAGTTAAAAATGTTTTTTTTTTTTTTTTTTTTTTTTTTTCTTCACTCGTACAGTGTTGCCATTGCTCGCTTTGAAATCGTTGAGTTTCTTAATCAAAAACTCATAAATGCTTTACAAAATATGAAATAGATAATAAAACAAATCTAGAATCTAGGCAATCTAGGCTTAATCTAGGCTTAGAATCTAGGCTGAATTTTATACCTACTTGTTTATTACTCTGTTTAAAGAGATAAAATTAAAAATTAAACTATTATCATTATATTTATAAAGGAATGTTGGTTTAAACTTCATTTATCGATACAAAGTTAGGCTATTCTATTCACTAACTTATCATACTTGTCAAATCCTAAGTTATACAGAGTGTATGGATCGTGTAGCAATTCTCTAGGTGCCACATCTGTAACTGGTTGCCATGATCTGATTGCAGTCAAGCTACAGCTTTGCCCAATTTTAAGGTAAATTAATTAGCATATTTTTTCGTGTGAATGGTATCCAAATAAAAAAGGTGGTGAAGATAATCTGTTCGTTTGTTCATTTAACTTAAACCTTGCGTTCTATCATAGAACCGCGCTCATTGAGAGACTTCTTTATACTTCATTTCCTATAGAGTTAGAAATGAACAAACTTACGGCTACTCCTCAATATCAGGTGTTCATACGCTCACTATTATTCACTATTGCCAATGCATTTATAATACCTTTCTTTGGCAGATGATAAATTTCGTTTCTAAATTCCTCTTTAACGCCACTACATTGACATGTTTAAGAATTTTTCATTTCAATTAAAGTTCATTTCCTTATTTTTTAGTCATTCTCATGAAATGTATTACACTAAATACTATGCAATACATTTTACAATATTTAGAATAAAATTTTAGAATTATTTGCAATTACAATTTACAGCTGTTTACAATAAATATAATAATATTTCATGAAATGTATTACAATAATTCTTCTGTGTTATATTAAATTATTGAAGTTATGTATATTATCTGCTGCCTAATTATAAACCAAATTAAATTTTATTTAATTTACCTATTGCATTTTTTTGTGTCTCCTGTATCATTGTACGCATTTAAAGACAATTAAATCATTTTCCTCATATTTTCATTTTTTTGTGAAAATGAAAAAAGTACAAAGTAAAATGGCAAATGTAATTAGATGTGCTATTTTAAGCTAAGAAGTTTTGTACAGTGTTTTATACCATTTCATAACATGCAATTCGCATTAAAGAATAATTACTGTCTTTATTTGTATATAAATATATTTATAAAAGTAAAAGATTCATTTGAAAAATGTGAACTTGCTTTATAAAATTTTGATTAAAGTGATGTTCCCCAAAACACTGCATTGTCTATGTTATTTTTTTTCTGAATGCGTAATCTCGTAAGCTCTTACGAACGATTTCATATTATAACATTTAGAGTCTTGCTTTTTCTTTCGAAAATTTTAATCGTAACAACAGTGCTGAATTAACCAATATACAAATAAGGCAAATTAATATTTAGGACGCACAATTCGGTCGTATCGGACAGGCTTCAGTACAGATTGAAATGAAAAAGACTCGGAAGGTTCAGATTTTAAAGTTGCTCTAGAAGTTTTTCAAACACTCGTTATGCGACTCTCTCTCACACACATATAGGTACATCATATAACCCACTAAAAAGATGTGACGAGAGATGTAAAATCCATTCGAGTTTATTTGTTCACATTTTCATGTATCTTACGTAATTTTTTTTCGAATTTTTTTTTTATAGAAAATAGATACAGGGATTATTTGCATTTTTATCAATTTTGATTCCATTTCACTTTTCTATTTTTCGAAAAGCAAACATACGACATCATTATATTTTTGAATGTTATGAAAGCCTACAAGCGTTATTTGAAAAGTGATCTCTAACTTCATTTCTCTTTCAAACTGGAAAAGAGCATTTCAAGGTAATTGTGCAAGAAAATCCAAGAATAAATACCAAAGAAGACCTTGAGCAAAAAGTTGTTAATCTAACTGAAAATCTTAATATCGCAATTCATATTTCCAGTAAAAGTTTCAAATTGAAGAGACCTACCCAAAGCTTGCCTAAATAACTCAAGGAGATTATAAAGCAAAAAAAAAAAAAAAAAAAAAAAAAAAAAAAAAAAATAGAGTCAAGAAAAACTGGCAAACTACTTGAATTCCATACGGGAAGAATCAGTGTCATCAATTACAGAATAAATTTAAAATAGAATGGGAAACCTTCAAATGACCAAAAATGAGATCTTAAAAAGGATTCGTGAAATCGCTGATAACTGAATCGCAGATTCCTTATATGACTTGTTAAAACAGAAAACTCGCTAAAAAGGTACACTTCGGGGGGGGGGGAGAGGACATTTCTATATCTCCCGTTCTGCAGGGCCGATAGACGAAATTCAAATTGCGTTTTTCATGTCTCGAAAGCGCGACTTAGGATATGTATTAGATTTATATATAGCATTGTTCTACTATAGGTATTTTGACACAAAATCAGACTTTTTCTAAACGACATGCAAATTTTTTTTCCATATTTCGATTCTAGGACTCACACTATGACTTTTGTTTCAGTTTCTTACTTTCTGGTCAGAAACTGAAACGTATCTATGAAGAGTTTCAAATGCAAGCACATGGTGGCTTCGTTAGGCTTAGTAGCACTTAAACAACTTTTAAATTGTTGACAATTCTACAACTACTGCATGCAGATTAAATAAAGACATAAAAACCTTAACCGGAATATAAGAACAACATAATTCAATAACATTTAAAGCAAAAACTGTACAATTTACCAATATATAGCAGTGAAAAAACAGAGCTCACCGAGCTGAGTAAACAGAGTGGGCGTATATATATATATCTGTGTGTGGGATGATATGATTTAGTTCCTTGCAATAATTTGATGAGTGCTTGACTATGAAGACATTATTTTGCAGTCGCGAGTGGATTGAGGTTAGATCATCACTGAAAATATCAATTACCTAGTAGAAGATGGGGGGGGGAGAACTTATGAAGAATCACAAAAATCACTTAATAACCAAATATATCTTTATTATTTGTTATTACTCTATCAAATGGCTCAGCATAATGGAGCCAATCTGCACCCCACAATTTTGATGACGACTCATTACATTTTTAATAGAAGCAGCTAAGCAAGAGAGGTCCTTAAGCAAGCATAGGCAGAGAAAGAGGAAGGGTAGTTGGATTGCAACGGTATTTATAGTAAAATTTTTCGTTAATCTGATTGACTAAAACTTATAGGCAATGTAGAAGTTTAAGATGACATAATGCGGTATTCGTTTTCAGATACGACGCAATTTCGAGAAAGTTGTTACTGGAGAGAAAGTACCCAAATTAAGAGGCTTTTTAAGTTATAATTTTGATTTACATATTTTTTATATTACATATATGTTAACTGGTTCATATATGTACATATATTTTGATGCGGCCGATTGCAAACAAAAAGGGAGGTACACAACTGCTTGTTATAGCAGTCTCGTATACAAAATTTCAACGTTCTCGCTATTCGTTTTTCAGTTATGCGAGATGCATACGTGCGTACAGACATCACGAAAAAAAATCTCTTCTGAATCCATTTCAAATCCATTTTTCAATGCGTTTTGAGGAAAAGAGTTCTTAATTCTATCCGTACGATGTCACGCAGAAACATCGTTCAGATGGATTCGAGAGCTGTCAAAATGGATGCAATCGTTGAAATATGATACCCGAAATTTTTCGCGATTACAATACTTCCTTTACTTCATACAAGGAAGTAAAAATATTATGTTATGAATATGTACGTAAGAAAATGAATAAAAATTGAAATTTCGATTTTAAACCAATAGGGACGAACTCAGATGATACATGTTTCATTTTCGAATATGAGAGTAATCAAAAGCAATTTGAGAGAGATCATTGAGAAGTAAGAAAATCTGAATTCTCTTCGTGAGCTGAAACGAGTTAACATCAATAAGAATTCTAAAAAATCTGAAAGTTTTCAGATTTTATATTACTCCCAAAGAGACATTTTTTAACGTGTTGTGTGTTATACGTTTATTTATTAAATATCATGTTCTTGCATTCCTGTTAAACCATAAAATTCAATTCAACAGCAGTGACGCAAAATAATTTTAAAATGAACATATCTTTAAAATTTCCGATACACAATCTCACGCGTTGGAGATAAAAATGTTCCCCCCCCCCGTAGTGTTGTCATTGCTCGCTTTGGAGTCGTTGAATTTGCCAATCAAAAACAAAATATGAAATCGATAATAAAACAAATCTGAAATTCCAAATTAAGGCTTCCAGATGCCTGTATTCGTTGGAAGATTATGTTATTCAAACGTTGATGGCTCTAGGTACCGTTATTTTATCACAATGTGAGAAACATATACACATTTTCACAATGTGAGAAACATATACACATTTATGCAGATTCTTCATTATTTAATTTCTTTAAATGTAACACAGCGGGATAGTATTTGGTGGCAACTATTTGAAAAGTGAACCGACATTTATAGTGAACCAGCGCAAAATGGCAAAACGAAATTAATAGCCCTTCTGGGCTAACGCCCTTTGGGCTAATAATATTAACACGTAAAAACAATATTCGAGACAGATCATTGGGAATAGAAAACAAGGGTTGAACATAAAACAGAACAAGGAAACGTTGGTTGATCACTTTAA